CCCAGCTAGATAGAAATAAAAAGTCCAAGTAACGTTACGTGAGTGATATCAGGAAAGGACAGAAATGAACATCAATCAAGGAACTACGAAAGTTAACGTTGTGCAAGAACATGCCCAAAATTGTTTATCCCTAATCATCGCTGATTAGGATTAAATTTATAATGTCATATAAGTGCCTGTCACTAAGTGACCTCCCTTTGTTGATAACTAGCTGCTCATATTTGCTGCCTCAGACATACTCCCTAACTTAGTGATGCATCTGCGTTTCATACCACACATGTACTGACTTACCAAAATGTGACATTTCTGTACGTGAAAGTTGGAAATAAAGAGGCTTATTGGTAAAACTGCTTATCCGGCGATGAACAGACGTTTATTTTCGAACCTCAAAGTACAGCGCGGATGCTTAAAGAACGAATGTTAATGAGGCCCTAAATGGCGGCATCGTCATGCTATTTTTGGAACTCAGTTTGAAGTATCAGTGATGGTTGTAAACTGAACGGCTGCTTGCCGGTCGAAACCCGACCTGATCTAACTGGTCGCTGAAGAAAAGTGGTTTTACGCCATCGTCATCGCTGTCGAGGTCGGCGGCGAACTTGCACCGATCTGACGGCACCCCTGCCGGCCGAGTGGTGCTTGTTTTTGCGTGTTTTCGCCGTGCTGTGTCCATCTGTCTTATCCGTTTTGCCAACACTCGCAATCTTTATGCACGCCGACGATTACAGTGGACGTCGTTACTGTGGCCAGCACCGGCTTTTTCGCTGGTCGTTCATTTTCGGTTTCACCGGAGATGGGTTTTTATGCGATGACCAACTGAATTGCTTTGCAACTTTGTCGCTTAATCAATGAAAACTTTCTAACCAAATCAGCGTCTGCACGAGCGATGAGTTTTTCTCTTTCGGCTGATAAACCGTGCGCGAGGTTTGTTTACGGTTTTTTCTGCCGTTCGGCTGGAAACTTGAAATCAGTTACACTTGCATAAACAGCCTAAATACTGATGCTCAGGGAGCAACACATAGTTGACAAAAACTGTCAACAGCGCGTCAAGCTGTGCTGGGCAGCTCGGGGCCAGTTACTTGGCTAGCCAAGTTACTTGGCCGGTCTGCTGGCTCGTTCGAGTCGCCGTGTGGCTAAAGTTGCTACAAGACAGCGGACGGACGCAAGCAAAAAATTAGCAGCTGCCGTTTTTATTGCACTTGTTGAAACAAATCTATATTTGTTGGGCACGTATGTGTAGCTGCTTGGACAGAGTTGTAGAAAGTCCACTGGCTAAGCGAGTTCAGTGGAGACGTATGCGAATCTGAGCCGCTCTTGGCACCGATCATGTAGTGGAG